TAGAATGACTTCTTTTTTCTTTACAAGCTGGCGTTCATGATTTAGGATGGACAGCCAAATTATTCTCAAAACCTGGCAAATGCGAGGGCCTTCAGTCAGTGTGAGGTGGGAGCTTTTGTTTGCAGTGAAAGAACAGTTAAGACAAATTTGTCATTCACAGTTTAGTCTCAGTTTGCATATGAAAGCCTGCAGGTGAGTTTGTTCCCCTGCAGACTGAACTGATGCCAGATACCCAGCCAACATGTGGATGTTGTTGTATGTGGGGCCCATGTGGGCACTACATTGGCTGAAAAATGGGCCCTGTATGGGATTGTTCATGGGTTCCATCTTGGCCCTATGCCAACTGCCCACATGGGTGGGTTTACCCAAGTGGGCTCCACATTGGTTATGCTAGGGCTACCTGGGTAGCAACTGTGTATGGGCCATAAATGGGCACCTTAACTTATTTACTTGGGTAGACCCATCCTTGTGCGCAGTTGGCATTGGGTCAATATGGAACCTGTGAACAATCCCATATAGGGCCTATTTCTCAGCCCATTTACTACCCACAAGGACCCTATGTACAAATGTTGGCTGGGTAATTGCACTGTAATACTGAAGGCTGCTCTTGAAGAACCCATTCGCCAAAAAAAATGTTGGCATTGTACATTTCTGCAAACCACGGATACGTTATATTTGTACCTTTCATACGTATGATATCAACCTTTCTGACTTTGTCATCAGGAGGTGTAGGGGACAATGGATGGTGTGACACAGAGGCAAGACAACTGCCACTGCTCAAGACCAGCGAACAACAAAACTAGTTGTTTTTAAGTGAGACAGTGGTATTTCCAGCAGTGATATAGCCATTAAAAGGGGTTGTTTTTTTTGGCTGCATTTTCTGTTACATTTCCAGTAGTGTTTCCACCTAGGCGAAACAGCTACCAATCTGCAGACCACTGTTCAAGACCAACAAACTACAAATTGCCAGACAACAGCAGCATTTCCAGGGGCCTACCAGACGAAATGTGATTTTTTTTGGTGAGACACTGGCGAGACGACTGCCAAGCTGCAGACCAAAGTTCAAGCCCAATGAACAAAACTGTTTTTTTGTTTGTTTTTTGGGTCAGACATTAGCAACAGTTCCAGCGGCAATCATGTGACCAAAAGTGGTTGTATTTTATGGAGACATCGGTAGAATTTCCAGCTGTGATTGCGCCACCAAAAACAGGCATTTTAAGCCAAAATATCTTTTCCTAACCAAAAATTTTTTTGTGCCTAAACATAACCACATGTTAATGTGACCGGTGGACTCTAGTGTTGTCTGCGTTGTGTTGCTATGAAGAGACCCAGACCGTGGATATCTTTGGAGGTGATCTCTGTTTATTCCTTTATTCCTTTTACCCCCAAACGTTAACGTAGGGGTACAGAAACTGGTTACATATTGACTATGGAGGCCTAAGCGTGTCAGGTAATAACAACTGAAACAAATTTTGTGTAATTGTAATACTTAACATTACAACTGCACATTTGACTTTGTTACACATATTACTGCTATAGAATTGACCCTGTTAGATTAACCACACCATTTTTGGAACATAACGTGAAGCTTCAACGTACTCACTAAATGATAATATACAAATAATCATAATGTTTGTGGTTTGCAGAAACGTACAATGCCAACATTTATTCTGGCGACTCATTGTCTTGAACGTTTTTGATTGCAGACGATGACATGCGTGTACCCCTGATCTTCCTCTAACAGTACCTAACATTCAGGACTTTCTTTACCACTTCTCAGCCAGTGGGACTTCTGCTGTAGCGATGGAGACTCCCAGAACAATTTGAATATCAAACCTCTAACAATGAGACACATTTTTCATACCTTCACGACAGCCGTTGAGTTATTCATTGTTTGCAAACAGCCTCATTTCACCAGGCAGTCATAAAACAATGCAGAGCAATCAGATGGGTGCTCATACAATTTATTTGTTGAGCAGCAGGAAGCAGACAGTGTGGGCGGAAGCATCTTTTGTTTTCTGGTAAATATAACTCAAAACGCACTAATGTCTGAGAGACCAGTTGCTGATTGTGATTTATTCTCATAAGAGTCGTCTGGGTAGTCATCTTGACTTATTCTCATCTTTCCAGACTTGGTCCAACCCCTTGCAGGAGACTAGACTACTGTACAGCTGGAGAATGCATTAGTCCATATATGCAGCTCATATTTAAGAGGAGATTTATACAATGCTAATACAGCCGGACGATGACACGGGAGGACAGCCTCTATTTCATGATCTCCTCTCCAGCCTGAGGCAAGGCAAGCCACTGATTGTTATGCTGACCTTTCACTTAGTCTGAATGCTCTCTCGTCAAAGGCAAAGGCCGCCTCGCGACTTAAATGAGGCCTCATGCTGTCGACTCAGTGAGCTCCAGCCTCTGCGGAGTCTTTCCTTGACTCCAGCTTGTTTTTAGCAAACAGCCAGGCCAGCCATAGTACATATGTCAGCTGTTTCTTTATGTCAATCTCCTGGAATACAAACCTTGCAGAAATGAAGCAATAAAAACCGGCACTTCTTCCAGTTACGTGAATCGATTGGACTCAGTGGCTCTTTCTCGGAGCGTGATGCCTGCTGTGACATATTGGTGTTGAGTGTCAGGTTAATTGGGATGAACTGTTAATTGATTTCTCAGGGATTAGTGTGGTCTGTAGAAGCCTGTGGGTTTGCTTTTCTCCGACTTGGATGCATTAGTCCGAGGAGACAGTTGTGGAGAAGAGAGACAAGAGGAAAATAACTCAGTAGAGACAGAGTTAATGGTTAAACTGGCATATTTAAATGGTAAAAGCTTGATTCTTTGACTCAGGTTTTTGATTGTACCCATAATGCTGTCTAGATTATTTTGGTATGAGTTGCCGAGTGTTGAGCAATGTCTCTTTCCAGAAATCATGACCTGATTACTCAAGATAATCCATAGACCTTATTGTGAGCAGTTTTATGTAGGAACTATTTGCTTTCTACTGAACTACACCCACCAATTGCACCACCATGCAGAAGGAAGCATGCAGTCATGGATGAAAGGTTCATGACAGTGCGAGATGTAAACAGTAATAGAGTCCTCCTCGGTTGAGCTGTAACATTAGCTTGTTCAGTGGTGCTAGATAATTCATGATTGATTCATATTTGGTCAGCGCTGCCGTTTGTCAGTTTGACTGCAGTTCACGAGCAGTGATTGGCAGCTGACTTCGAGACTCCTCAGATTTCATTGCTTGTTTTCATCCACATGTGTAAGGACATTATAAGAAATATGACAAGGCAGAGAAACATTCTTGTTTTCACAGATCATTTGTCTTATGTAGACCAACTACAGCTTTAAAGGGACGCGAAACCCGACTATACCCACCAACTGTATCTGTGCGCAGAAGGAAGCGTGCATCTACTGTTAGCTCACCTAGCACCAATTAGCTAGCTAGATGTTAGAGCTCAGCCAAGGAGGACGGCATTAATGTTCACATCTTGTGCTGTCACGAGCCTCTCGTCCATGAGTAGATGCACTCTTCCTTCTGTGTGGTGATACAGTAAGTGGGTGTAGTTCAGTAAAAAGAAACTAGTTCCTCCACGAAACTGCTCACAGCAAGGTCTGTGGATTATCTTGAGTAACCAGGTCATGATTTCTGTAAAGAGACAATGTTGTTGACTTTTAAACAAAAAAAAAAAAAAAATTGGCGCTTTGAGCACCACGAGCCGAGTGCCATCTAGTTCCTGTATATTCGAGGGAAGACAGACAGCCGATATCTCCAACACTCTGCAACTCACACCAAAACAATCTAGACTAATAAACAGCACTACAGGTAAGAGGAGAAATATGTATTTTTGATTTTGGGGGGATCTGTCCCTTTAAAAAACAGAGCTTTACAGTTAGAGGTGCTGCTGTTGGTTAAAAACTACATCTGAACTTCAGTATTTTCTCAAAGCTGTAGATAAATATAGGCTGTCTAAACCCTGCAGTAATCCATCCATCTATGTTCCTCTGTCATATCTCTGTCAATAAAGACGAGCTTACATTCTATGTCTGAACATGCTTTACATATGCTGAATTTTTAAAGCTGATTCTGATACATTTTAGTCTAAAATAATAATAATAATAAGTTATTTGACTCTGTAGAGGCATTTACAATTTAGATTAGATATATTATTCTCCACATTACACAGCTGAGACTTGAGTTTGGTTATTGTGCAGTGAAATAATTCTCATGGAAGTGAGGTTGTGCTACAGGAATTTAGATTCATGACTTGTTGTATCCTGTATAGATAGTCTTTTTCCACCCTGACAAAATGAATTCCTGGTGAAGTAATCGATATATGGATTTATTTTTTGTTATAAAAGCATAAAAAAATACTTAGCATCAGCAAAAAATTATTTACTCTGAGCGGCCTCTCTTCACGTATATCAATATCTACTCAGGCCTTTAAAAATGAACTCAGGGTGAGTCTTGATAGAAATAAAAAATGGGCCCCGCCTGTGGTTTTCCATCCATGAACAATATCACAGCTGTCTGAGAAAGATCAGAGATCACTGAAGCATGAGTGACCCCCCCCCCCCTCGCCATCTCAGCTCTGCTCCTTCTCTCTCATCTCCTCCTCTATCGTTTCGCCCTTCTCCCTTATTTCACCTCCCGTATGATCGATGCAGAGAAGTGAACTAAACAAGGACTGTGCTCGCTGGATCATTAGCCCCATCTTCTAACAGGCTGATTATACAGGGATGATGTGGCTGTCGTTGCGTTAATGCCCTCTATGATGTTGCAAAGCTGCAGCAGATACTGGTGAACCTTTGTCTGTAAAAGACACGCCGGCTTAATTGATTTCAGTCAATTATGGGGTGGAGAGTGCAAACGCCTGTGAGAAGATTCAGAACACTTAGTCAGAACATAGCACTCACAGGTCTGGAGGAAGATCACATACATCCAGAGCTCCTATGTGAGTGTAATGTTTCCTAACCTTATCTCTTCTCTCCCACAGGAGTTGACTTCAAAATGAAGACACTGCTAATAGATGGTATCAAAGTACGGATACAGATATGGTAAGGCTGTGGCATGGGACGCCATGTTGGACGGCCTTGTGCAGGAGATTAAAAAATGTTATTAGATATTACACAACAGCAGTTCATACAGAGGGGATATTATGGGATATTATTTATTTGTAGTCTTTGACTTCAGCCCAGAATTAAACCTCACAACTAACGGTACCTTCAAACAGAGATGATTTACAAAGATACACAGATTTTCAAATTATTTTCACCTGACTGCTTATAAATTATCAAACTGACCATCATAATATTATACCGGAAAATATGTACAACTAAATAGTGCTAAAAAATATATTGACAATTAGATGGACGACATTATGTCAAACAACAAAAATCTACTCAGATAAGAGGGTAGTGAGGGGATGGTCTGTATTCTGATATCAGTGTAGTATGTTGCATCAATAGATGCCCAAACAGACTTACAAAGCTGACTCTCAATTTTCATGTACATATGTGTGAAACCAAATATACCAATTATAGGAACACATTATAGTATATTATACATGCCTTCATACTTTTAGTGTATATTATTCAGTCTAGTTTGCCTAATTTTCAAAGCTTTAGTAATAAAAATGAGTCCATACTTTGACACTCAGTCCACATTCTCATTTTCATCCAACCAAAATAATTCAGGATTTTTGTTCTGCATTCTTGCAAAGGTACATACATGCTGTCATATAAAGAGGAAAACTCATGAACATGCACTTAAAGCACAGGCTGGGACGGTCGAGAAGCTTGCTGAATTCAATTCAACAGAACTTTATTTATCCCAAACAAACATTTTTTGTGCCAGCGAATGCTTCAATTACAATAACACAAATTACAGTAACAACAATTAACATTCACAAACCAGTAATAACCAGAACAACCAGGGGGTTCCCTTGGTCAGAGTCACACACTGGGCCCAGTATTCAAACAATAGTCTATTAAGTATCAGTCAAAAATATTCAAAATATACAAGCATGCACTGCTGCATCCTGCAAAACCACGCCCATCCTAGTACATACCAAGTTTTTAGGGAGTCCACAGCACTGAGGTCATGTCCTTTGTAATTTTGGGGAATTTTTTTTTGCAGCCTGGAGCAATTTTAAGTTTGACATTGACAAATTTGCACATTTTGTAAACTGTTCTCTGTAGTTTTAGACTCAGTATGTTTATGTTGAACTACTTTCAGGTCAATTGAATAATAGTACTTTCATGCAGGAGACTGGAGTTTGTGTCGCGTCACAGACCTAAAAGTAATGCTGTAGTTTTTATAAGCTGGAGCAGTGATTACAGTGTAGTTTCCATGCCCTGATATTGTAGAATTAGAGAATTTTTAAAAACCTAAATGTGGAATTTTTTAAATCATATTTTCAAAAATGTGTCTCCTCCAATATCAATAGCATTGGTCTAGTGTCTCTGTGGGGCTGTTCTCATAGGCACAGGGGTGATTCTGAACTAACATGCTCACACTGACAGTGCTAACATATTGATGTTTAGCAGGTAAGGTTTACCAGTGCTGTGTCTCAAATCGCGTACTTCTGTACTTACACTTAATATTTTGAGTGCATAAGTGCGTTCACACTGAAAAGTATGGAAAAATGCAGTGCACTATGAGAACCCGGATGGTGCACTCAAAACGGTCAAGAAGTTGAGTGTGGAACTATGGACACTTCTCGCACTCAATGGTCGCCATCTTGGCTACGTATCGGAAGGGAAGGGAACACTTTTCAAACTGGAAATGGCGGCCGATGACTGTGCAACCGTGAACGGCGCTGCGTTATACAAATACATGTGTTATTTGCGCTATGCACCACTATACTGTTGTCGGGTATAAGCCAGCAGTATGTTTATTGGGTTCATTTAGCAGTCTGTAATGATTTGGTGAACAATAACGTGAATGCTAATGCTAGTTTGCTAACTAGCTAATTTGCGGTCGTTTATTTCCGGTAAGTGCACAACGGCCGTGTTTGGTTTGAGACAACACTACCCTGTCGAAATTTGCGCACTACGCCAATAAGTACATAGTGCACATAGTATACTACATAAAAGTGTACTAACTGAAGTATGTGATTTGAGACACACCACAGGTTTACCACTTTAGCTTAGTCTGTTAGCATGCTAACATTTGCTAATCAAAAGTAAAACACAATGTACAGCAGCTTGGGCTGATGGTAATGTCAATAGTTTTACAGGTATTTGTTCATGAAGCACAGTATTGGACACATTTAACATTTGTCGTTTATGGCTGTTGTCTTTCCAGGGACACGGCAGGCCAGGAAAGATACCAGACCATCACCAAGCAGTACTACAGACGAGCACAGGTAGTCATCTACTCTCCTCCACTGACTCTGCTGCTGCAACTCATTTTGTGAACTTTTTTTTTTTTTTT